GACTGGATGAGTCAGCCAGCCTCTCTAATCCGCCGCCCTGGTGCTAGCAGATGGGCACACGAATGAAGTGGCAATAACAGCAGAAGCAGAAGCTATATGTGGGGCCGAGAGCTTACAGCTGAATGTCCAACCTGTCAGAAACACAGACCAACACTGAATCCCTGATATGACACCATCCCTCAGAAAACCACCCACCCACTTGGGGGCAAGCTGACTACACTGGGCCTCTCCCACCCTGGTAGGAATAGTCATCTATCATGACTGGAATATTCCATATACAGTTTGCCTTTTCTTACTGCAGGACATTAGCCAGCATCACTGTCCAAGGGCTTATACAACATTTGATCTGGCAACAGGGGATCCCACATAGCACCAAACCAAAGGACACACGTTACAGCAAAGGACATGAATGCAAAGCAAAGGAGGTGCAAAAGTGGCCTGTGACCATGGAATCAGCTGATAAATTGACGTACTGCAGAAGCTGCTGGCGTGATAGAACGACGTGGTTTGTTGTGTTAACAGCTTAGACCCTGTCATGGAGATGATACCGTGCAAGAATGGGCACCATCCTCCTCCCAAACATAATGTAAGCCCTGAAACAACTACCCTTGTATTTGCTGCTCCAAGTAGGCAGAGTACAGGAACTCAGGGGTTAAAGCAGGAGCCACCCAGCTTACCATCAATCCCAGTGATCCACTTTTGGACTGTGTACTTCCTATTCCCTCAGGGCGCTGCAGGGTTAATGGTCCCGGTTGGTGGGGGGCACTGCTATCAGGGAACACAGCAAGAATCCTGTTAAATTCTAAGCTCTGGTCGTCAGCTGGACACTTCAGGTTTCTCAAGCCAAGAGAAAAGGAGACACTGTCTGGCCGGAGGACATGACCTTGATTATTAGGAGAAGGCGGGGCGACTGTCATACACGGGGGCAAGGAGGAGTATGTTTGGCACCTGTTGGTACTCCTCATTCGGCTTTGATGGTGAGTGAACAGCTACAGCAGCCGGAGCTTGAGAAGGGTGTGGGGAAAACAATACTCAGGGATCCCTCAAGGATGAGAAAATGAATCACCCACCAAGTAAGCCCCTGAGATCAGCAGAGGTGCTAGTTAAAGGTGAAGGGTCTGCTTCCAGAGAAGTCTATCTACGAAAGAAGCCACAATAAAAATATAGTTTATATAACCTGCTATACATATGTTTCCTTCATAACCCAGGCTATATATAATATATATTACATAAGACACATATGTTAGACAGCAAATAGAATACAGGATATGTCTTACATAATATATAACACATAAAATGTACATTATATGTACATGTCTCTAGAAAGTATGGTAGAATGTATGCCAGTATAATTACATATTTGGAATGAAGTTTTCAGCAAACAATTGCTTTAACTATATGCATGCAGTTTTATATTTCCTATCCTATTTTATTCCATTTTGTAAAGGAAAACATACACATATAGGTATACTATACACTGTACAGTCATTATATAATGTGAATTATATAGCATTATCATATATAATAGTGTACATTATATACTTTATATAATTGGAATAACAGTTTTATTAAACAACTCCACTTATTATGTCCAATGCACTCTGTTAATTTCTATTTTCATTTTTTGTACTTCATGAAGAAAATGACATGCTGGTCGTAAGCCAATAGGTGACCCACACTTTGAAAAACACTGCAGTAAATTATTTCTACAAAAGAAGAAATGAGTCTCAGCTCAGAGCAATGGAGCTTCAGGAAGACATGAGAGTGGCCAAGTCTGGGTGAAAGGCAGCAGACTACTTAGGTGTGTATTTGTTAGAGTTTGCAAGACTCCTTTATTTCAGGCTGAAATCCCTGAAGCTTGCGTGGGACTGAAGGTTTGCAAGTTGGTGATGCAGGGTTCTGTTGCCACATTAAGCCTGGCATAAATAGGCTCTTTCCTTCTGTTCATGTCACCCCAAACATAGTAGATACTAAATTAATATTTGCAAGCCGGGTGTGGTGGTGCACACCTGTAATCCCAGCACTCGGGAGGCTGAGGCAGGAGGATCATTGTGAGTTCAAGACCAGCCTGGGCTATAAAGTGAGCTCAAGGCCAGCCCGAACTGCATAGCGAGACCCTGTCTCAAAAAAGACAAAAAAAATAATATTTGTGAGATTGACTGGAAAAGATTGGAGATATTGAGATCTTTATCTGCTGGGGGTTTCTGGCATGCAATGAGAAGGAAAGGATTTCACAGAAGTCAGCAGTAGCTCAATAAGTGCTTTTAGACAGATGCAAAGAAAAAATGGGAAAAAAGAAATTGAAAACACTGGAGTTGCAATTATGGGAAGGGAAAGAGAAAGGGACTTGTCAGTATTTGGTAGGTAACAGACGCTTGGTGGAATGGAGAAAAAAGCAATAAGGAACCTGTCGGGAGGGTTGCAGTGAGGAAGGAAAGCCTAAAGGAGTTACCAATATCCAGCAGAGGCCTCATTAATGTTTTCTGACTTCAATGGAGCAAACGTAGTCAGGAAGATAGCACCTCGTGGTGTGGACACTGGTCAAGGGATTATTGCATATGTCCAATACATGCTTTGAGGCTTGATGGAAGAAAACAGTACAGCATCCTGCTGCAAGGTGAGAACGTGTTTTTTTAAAAAACAAAACAAAACAGAATGCGGTAAGAGATTAATAAATGCTTTCTGGATTAATGGGAGGGAAGGACAGATAAGGAGGGGTATGAGGATCTAGCCAGAAAAGACAGAGAATAGTACACATTACGAGCTGTCGGGACTGTGTAGTGTGAAAGGCAGGATAGAGACTGTTAAAGGGGAGTTCGAACTACTGGAAGGGGAGGAGAATATGGACTCCTTCAGTGTGTACAATAAGTGCTCATTAAATAATTGTGAGGTTAAATAAAGGAAAAGGTATATTGAAGCCAGCTGGTCGTTGGGATTGGAAGGAAGGGGAGCTGAAGGAGAGGGTTCTTCCTAGTACATGGTCATGCTTAATAAATGCCTCCCTTATTCCGACACATGGAAAATACACAATAAATATATGGAATGAATAAATGGCTCTGAACAGAGAGAAAAACTGCAGGGAAAGGGTCTTGGGGGAGAGGTGATCAAATTAGCAAAGTTGGTATTCAGTACATTTAAGTTGAAGGAGATCCCTGGAGAGAGAGCTCTTGAGGCAGGAGCAGGAACTGCCAGAGACTTGGAAAAAAACAAACAGAATTCCTCATACAGTAGGTGCTCAGTAAGGGTTTACTGGCTTAGATTTCACAGTATGGATTTAACGTTGGGACAGGGAATCCTAGAGATATGGAAGACAATGGGAAAGGGGTAACTCTAATAAACTGAGTTCTGGATTTATTGAAGGAAACGACCTTATGACTGGGGCAGGTCCTTGCAGTGGTAATGAAGGGAACGTACTCTTGATATGCAACAGGCACTGCATATGTGCCTACTGGATCCAGGGGAAGAAATGGTCTCTGGGAGGAGGCACGAGCACACAGAAGTCACTCCAGAAATGCACATGGAAGCCACTGGAGGCAAAGGTCTTTGGGGGAAGGAGATTAGAATGGAGCACATGGCAGAAAGGAATAAAATGTTCACTGGATCCATTCACAGAAAGGATTTGGAGAAGGAAGCCAGTGGTGGGCACACATTCATTTGATGCAAGCTTACTGGACCTTTGGAGGAAGGAGGATGGGCATGAAGAAACTTGATCCATGTGAGGGTGATTCTCCATCTGTGGGAGGAAAGGTTTTGAGGAGAAGGCACAGAATCAGACATAGAGCAAGTGTTCCATAAATACTCCAAGGACTGATTAAAAGAGAAAGTCTTTGGAAAGAGTGCCTGAAATGGTATACAGAGCAACTGCTAGATATCTGAGCACTGGATTAATTTGGGGGCAGAAGCCTTTGTGGAGAGGTCTAAAGCTGGGCATGCAAGAGATGTTCAATACACCCTGAATGAAGCCACTGAAGGAAAAGGCGTTAGGCAAAGGGTATGGGGAGGGGGTATACAACAGATGCTCAATATATGTTTGTTCAATATATTGAAGGAAAAGATGTTTAGAGAAGGCTCATGTTGCAGGCAGTTGATCAATGCTAGATGGATCCACAAAAGCAAAGCACTTTGAAGTAGCTTGGGAATGGGGGATGCAGGAGCCACCCAATAAATGCTTTTGAGATTTATTTGTAGGAAAAGGTCTTTGAGGAGTCTGCTGATGAGTCACACACAGAAGGCTCAAAATATTCATGGAATTCACTGGAGAAAAACTGTTTGGGAGGGGACTTGGAGATGGACACATATCAGTCACTTAATAAATGCTTCCTAGATCCTTCGGAGAAAATAGGTTCCCTCGAAGAGAAGGCCTGGAGTTGGGGCACATAGAAGGTATTCAGTCAAGGTTCACAGGCGAAGAGCTGGCGTGGAATACACAGCAGGCACTCATCAATGTTTACTTAATAGTTTAAAAGGTCCTTGAAGAGGGGGCTCGGGTGGGACACAGTACCAACTAGATACCTGCTCACAAGACCCGTCAGGCCTTAGGGCAAGGGTTGAGGAGAACAGAGCACGCACAGGATTCTTAAGAGATGCTCACAAAATTCAGTGAAGCCCAAGGCCTTCAATGAGGCATACTGCAGGCACTCAGTAAGTGCTTACAAGATTCACTACAGTACGAGGCCCTCGGGGCAAGGGGTGGGTGACAGAAGTGGGGCACATTTGGCTTTTGAAGGCTCATACGATTTAATGAAGCCATAGGCTTTGGGGGAGGGGGCTGGAGGAGAGGTACACAGCAGGCAATTGATAATTACTCCCTGTATCCATCAGGAAGGTTTTGGGGAGGCAAGGGTGGGGCACACAGGAAGCGACCAACATAATTATTTAAAGGAAAAGAATTTGAGTGAGGGGGCCAGTGGCTAGGCACACAAGCAGCACTCTATAATTGCTCGTTCACCATGGAACTATCTGAGGACCCAGGCCCACGGGGAGGCGCGGCAGTGGCTTACCAGTCGGTGTGCGGCTCGTCGATGACCAGCAGCACCCTGGCGGCGGCACCCCCACGGCCTGCACCCCCAGAGCCGCCGCCCACCTGCTCGCTGAAGGTGGCTGCCGCGGCTGCAGTAGTCTGCTTGACCGCGTTGGACAGCGATGAGAAGAAGCCACCACCCCCTGAGGACCCGGGACTAGGAGCTGCAGGAGAGGCCATAGGGGCGGCGGTAGAGGCCCTGTCGGCAGTGGCAGTCGCGGAACCGGGCGTGGCTCCGGGGCTAGCAGCAGAGGGTGGCGGCGGGGGCGGCTGCGGGCGCTGCAGGTCTGTCATGTACCCATTCGGCAGATTGGCCATGAAGTTGCTGTCCGACAGGCGGCGCCGCAGGTAGTTCATGGTTGCGGCTTGGGGCAGGGGGGTCCTAGGAGCAGTCTGGCCAGGAGCCGCGGGGGCGGACCGCGCGGGGCCCAGGAGCACAGCTGCGCTCTCAGGCACGACGCGATTCCTCTGCTGCCCGCCGCAGACTGAGGCAGCGCTGAGTCGCCGCCGCCGCAGCGCGGATGGTCGCGCCCGTGTCCCCCTAACTCGCGCCTCGCATGGTGCAGTCCGGCTGGGCCCACGGCAGTGCGGACGCGACCAAGGCGGCTGGGAAGGGGAGTTTGTGGAGGAACGGCTAGTGACGTCACGTGCGTTCAGTGCTAGGGTGGTGGTGGCGCGCTGGCAGGCGGGGGCGAAGGCGCTGTCCGCGGTGCTGAATCTGGCAGTGCGCACGCGCCACGCCGCATCCTGTTTCCCCTCCCCCCTTTGATAGGAGATGCGCAATTTGGGGAGTGGGGGTGGGGTGCTTGTCCGGAGGGTCGTGTACGTAGTCAAGCAGCCGCCCCCTATCCGCCTCATTCTGGTCCTCACTTCCTCTCGCACTCACACACAAGACCCTTTCCATATACTGTTAACAGTGTTGATATTCACAGCCGAAGACGTTTTGGAGGTGAGGGGGCACACTCGAGACAGAACAGTAGAGAAATAATCCCCTCACAGCAAGACGTGGGGTCACACGCGGTGTCTCTCAGGGAGATCAGTCTCCCATGTCCAGTCTCAGCTATGCAGACAGATGCATGTGGGGGCAGCTAGACAGCTTCAGACAAGCGGAGGTGGACACGTGCAATGTACACACCCTTGCCCTGGGTGGCAGGAGTCCAGAAGGCGCACAGAGAATGACACACATAAAAGTAAGGAAACACATGGAGACAGGTACAGAGGACACACACTTATCTAGTATATATACAGACATACAAGCTCTGGGTAACTAAACCACATGAACATGTTGAATATATGCCTGCATGACATGTTACACACACAGACAATACACCAACACAGAGATGCAGAGAAACTCACACAAGCACACACCCTCTCCACACACACATACCCACAGATGATCATGGAGAAACCTAGCTATGCAATGCAGACACCACCCCCCACCACACCACGCATTCGGTCAAATGTCCCCATCCCTCTACTTTGGACACAGCCAGTACCTGGTGTTATCAGAGTCTGTGGCTGTCTTCTTCACCTAAGAAACTTCCACAGACAAAGGCATGATGCCAAATAATTTTTGCACTTGAGCAAATGAGGTAGTCCACACAGAGGTGGGGATGTGGATGCCATCCTTATCAAACCTCTAAGACTCTGACTACAACAAAAGCACAAATCCATACACAAGCATTTGTTGACTGTACCCAACACTGAACTGTCTACATATATTGGTGTATCCAATCCTCATAACTGTCCTGTGGATGAATAATTTCCTTTTACAGATGAGTGAATTCAAGAACTCCAATTAATTCCCAAAGGGTTATGTTCACTTTATGATGTATACATCTTTAAAGAATAATGTGCCAGGTAGATGGTACAGCCAGTGCCAGTGTGGCTAGAAAAAAATGAGGGGTATTGTGGCCAGAGAGAGAGTCAGAGTGGGCACCAGGGGCCAGATTAGATAAGGCCTTGACCGTAGTGAGCAGTGATGTCGGACCAGATGAAGCGGCAGAGGATATGCAAGTAGGCAGATTTGGGGTCTCTTCTGCCTGCAGGATGTTCTGATGAATCATCCATTTATTTATTTGTTCATTCTTCATTAAACCATTGGCCTGTTTAAATAAGGCAGTAATAGTGTAGAGTCTGGAGTCAAATGCTTGGCTTCATGTCAAGTCTCCAATATACACTTGAAAAAGTGACCCAATCTCTCAGAATTTTGGTTTCATGTATAATAAAAGGATGATGACCTGACCCACGCCTAAGGAAAAGGTACCTTTAAATGTCCTGTAACCTCTGTCAGGAATGCCTCTCCTTCCCTCTCCGGAGCTGCCTTGATCACAGCCTCTAGGAATCCCCACTCGCAGATTCATCCCCACTTCCCTTAAGTGTCCATGGTATGCAAGTTAAACACTTCCCAAACATCTTCGTAGTCTCTCCTGGATCCCAGCCACCTTCCATTCCATTTCCTGGCCTTTGCTTTGGCTAGTCCTCCCTCCTCCCTCCAGGATGCTCTCTCTGGCATTTCCTATGGGGACCACCCCACAAATTGGGTGTTTTACAGTATTTTGAAATATGTGCTTCCATTACTAATCATAAAACTTTGTTGCTTATTAACAGAAGCAAGCAAACTGGCAGGGCTATGATGATCTTTGGGGGATGGGAGCAGCTGCAGGTCCACTGATCTTTTTGGTGCCTGTGGACCTGAATTCAGGATCCTGAAGACTGTCTCTAGACTGTACCTCTTCTTAGGGATCTGGTCCATAGGCTACTAGTACTTGTGGCCTCCAGCACCCTTCCCCTTTTTCCAGCTGGCTCAATTTCCAAAAAATTTTTTGTAGAGTCCCTCAGAAATATCTTAATTCACCAAGGCAGAGGCAAGGCTCCTCTGCACTTTCTCCATCCTCTTCAGCATGAATAGATGTACAGAAGGGGCTCCAAGAGTAATTTTTTGCTGTGCAATGATTCAACCACACACTATTGACATGTTCACACTCAGTATTGTACCCACTTTTATAACACATACATCCATCATGCCACCTTAATGTGAGTGTGCATACCACGCAGTTGTGGCACAGAGTTGTAACCTCATACATACACTCCACACACATTCAATAATACATCCTTAATTCCTTTTTTTTTTTGTTTTGTTTTTTTTTTTTGGAAACAGGGTCTCCCTCTGTATTCCAGGCTAGCCTTGAACTCACTATGTAACCTAGGCTGGCCTCGAACTCACAGCAATCCTCCTGCGTCAGCTTCCCAGGTGCTGGGATTACAGGTGTGCTCCATGCCTGACCAATACATCCTTAATTCTTGCACAGCTCCACAGGTCTGCATCTTACACACACAGATACATATACCTCATAATGCACACACACACCACTGAACACATGCCACTTTCTTGTAAACACATACCTCTCACCCCTTGTAGTAACAACCAGAAACTCTCTTCGGTTCAGTCTTCCCAAGATGACCAAGTACTCATTAACTTCATCACATCAATGGGCCCAGTTTACATAATGGGAAATTGGCCCAGAGAAGTCAAGTGAGCATGTTGTCAAGAAGCCAGGCACCACAAATCTACCTTCTGAACCTTCTTGCACAGAGGGCTTCCCTTCACCCACTGCACAAAGTCCTGAATACTGCTACTAATGTTTAAGGTCACCTTACAGTGGTGCTTCAAAAATGTCCAGCGCCATACCTATCTGTGCCTCTTTCTTCCTTCATAAAATGGGGGCAATATTGACTCTCATGGTTTGTTGTGGATTAAATGAATTCATGCTATGCAAAGCCTTAAGACACTGCTGGGTGGATAGCAAGTACTTTCTAAGTGTTAGCTATTACCATAATTATTATGATTCCTATGTGTCTCATCAGAGGGGACTTGGCATTCAGTGAGTGGTAACTGAATGAGCAAATGCTAAGAGCAGTGGTGTCTGGGTTTGTTCTCTTCATTGTGGCTGAGGAGACACGTGCTGATTTCTCTTCCTATGTCCCCTGATGTTGAGCACTATTGTTAGTGTACAGTAGGCGTTAAGTGTCAAATAAATGTTCAAACTAAAGGTATGCTTATTCTGAGTCTGTTTCCTGGCTCAGATGTCCTCTCCTTCTACCAGTCCTCCTCCATCCCAGATGCCTAGCCTTAGCTCTAACCTACAGTGAACGCTGATATGCTCAGAGAAATGGGCACATGCAAAAGGAATGTGCATCTGGGTTTGTCCCGGGTGACCCTCTCTGTGGATGCTGACACTTAGCTACTGTCTGCCCCTGCCCTAGCTCAGAGCATATCATAACCACTTGATCAGCCGCCCCCGCCTCCACCCCCACCTTGCGGAGCTATTTGTCGCCTGTAATTGTGGTGCTGGAGCTGGGCTGTTGCGAGTGGGTGGGTGCAGGTGTTCAAGCCGCAGGGTGCCAATGCTAGCCACGCCTCTCTGCTGCGGTTCTGGGTTAGTTGACACCGAATTGGCCAGCGGGAAGGCTCCAGCGGGTGGGAACCTAGAGAGCTTTGGGAGGCGGGGAGACAGCAACTAACTGGCATGCTGGCCAATCAAGAAGTGTCCACCAGGGCGAGTAGCCAATCAAGACACCTCCCAAGCAGAGATCTGCAGAGGGACGTGATGGGCGTCCCGGGGCCTTGGCGTGGGGATGGGGGAGTGTACAGCCTTAGGCAGTAGTGAGGGAGCCTGGGGCTGGAGACTGGCTTGCACGACTTCCAAGGAAAGTACTGTTTTCCACAACAGGCTGCCGAGATTTTGCTCTAGAAGATACTATTGCTACATTTCTGAGAAAGGAGCTAGGTTGATCTGCCTTCTTTAACGATTTTATGTGTGTGTGTGTGTGTGTGTGTGTGTGTGTGTGTGTGTGTGGTACCGGGAATCGAACTCGGGACCTCGCGCTTGCCAGGCAGGCCCTTGTGCCGCTGAGCTATACCCCCAGCCCAGGAATTTTAGAAGAGCTCAAAGAGGTTTCTTTATTGAGGTCTGGGAGGTCAGGGGGTCAGAGCTGAGGGAGAGGTGTTAGATCTTTTCCTCCTGAGGGTCTTTGCAGGCAGGCGCGTGTAGACATGGCCGTTTCTCCACCAGCACCACCTTCTGCCCTTGCAGCTCCTCGCACTGTGCCCGTGGATTCCCCCAGAAGGTAATGTTCTTCTCACCCTGGCCTTCAACTATGGAAACTGTGGGCCTGGGGCGTTAGAGAGGGAATGGAGGAGAGAAGCTCAAGGAAGGAAAGAATGCATTCGACAATTTTTTTGGCAGGGGTGGTACTGAGGATTGAACCTAGGGCTTTTGCACTAAGCTATGTCCCCTGCCCTCTTATTTTTTAAAGACAGTCTCACTAAGTCACTAAGTTGCCCCGGCTGGGCTCAAACTTGTGATTCTCCTACCTCAGAGTGCTAGGATTACAGGTGTGCACCACCATGCCTGGCAAGAAACTCTTAATGAGTGCCTACTTTGTACCCAACACTATCTTTTAGCTGTGGAATACTGAGCTATTTATCTTGTCAGGAACCATGCCTCAGTTTCCCTCATCTACAAAATGGAAATAGTAGGAATAATAATATCAATACCTACCCCAGTGGGCTGAAGATAAATGAATTAATTCAGATGAAGTGCTAGGTGTGGTGTCTGACACACAGTGAGTGCCCAGTAAATGGTCATTGTTAATTGCTGGCATGAGCTACTTTTTTTGTTGTGGTGCTGGGGTCAAACCCAGAATCTCACACATGCTAGGCAATTGCTCTGCCACAGAGATACATCCCTAGCTTTTATGAATTACCTTTTTTTTTTTTTTTTTTTTTTTTGAGACAAGTTCTCGCTATGTAGTTCAGGCTGGCTTTGAGCTCACTATGCAGCCCAGGCTAACTCAAACTTGCAGTGATCCTCCTGCCTCTGCCTCCCTAGTGCTGGGATTATAGGTGTGTTGCACCATGCCCAGCTTACCTTTATATCACTCTCTAAGTCCCTCTATTCCCCAAACCCAAATGTTTTGTCTTGGTATTCAAGGCTTTGCTATTGGGCCCAAATTCCTGGCCCAAGGCAATCTCTTGTTCTCTCCCCTCCACTTATTCAAACTGAGTCCTTTGTCCAAAAAGGTCGTTGCCTGGGTTATTTCTCCTATCAGACAAAGGCTCCATTTACTCCTACCATGATTTCCTCAGTTGGTCCTTGCTCTACTCAGTCTGTCACTCATTCAAGACCTGTGCTGTCATTCAACAACTCTAAGTCATCTTCAAGACCCATTTTGAGCCCCACAGTAGGGAGGTCACATCCCAGATGGCAGACCTTCCATGAGTTGTGAACAGGCCAATTAACCTAGTAGCTTGATATACGTAGAAGGAAGAGATGGGTATTTCAACCCTAAAAGCTGGGCTACTCTGGACTCCAGTAAACTCGTAGGGTGGCCAGTCACATGCGTTCAGGACCCTGCTTACGGTTTTGAGGTCAGGAATGCTTTTCCCAACCCCACCTGCCCGAGCGGGCCCAGTCCGCTTCCCAGGCCCGACACAGCAGTACTCCCTTTGCCATACACCTGCTCACTTGAGCCCCTTCGAGGCTCCAGGGATCTGGGTTCTGTGATCAGCAACTGTGGCCAAAAAGGCTTTGGAGTGCCTTGGGGTGGTGAGATGTCCAGTGAGTGAGCGCAGGCGTGAGTGACTGAGAGGTTGGAGGGAGTGGACATGAAAGACTAAGTGAATGGGGGAGTGGCTGGGTGACTGAATGAGTGACTGAGGGGCAGAGAGGCTATGACTTTCCTCTAGTGTCTTTTTTCTCCTCTTCTTAATTTCTCCCTTCTTCTTGTAGCTGGGCGATAGCACTCAGCAAAGCAAGGACCACAGACCCAGTGATGGAAGCCCTGATTGGAGGAAATCCACTCTCCCGCCCTCAACGTCATGACCCCCTCCCAATACACTCTACCCCTCACTCACGAGAACTTGGGGAGCGAGGACATGCAGAAGCGCTGGCGGATGCGGGTGGGGTTGGGCCCACATGGTGGTGTGCACAGCCCCCATTCAGTCCACTCTGACCATGAGCCTTTCTCTCCAACTGGCGGGGGGGAGGAAGAGTTAAAATTGGAGGTCTCAGAGGGAAAGTGAAGGGAAGGCTGCAGGGACATGGGGTACACGCAGAGTTGGAAGACCCAGAACCTTGTTCCTGGGTGGGCTGCCTACCCTCACAGTGTCATCTGTGGGGCACTCACAGATACAGTTTTGGATGTCGTAGCAGTGTCGGATTTCCTGGTGTTTCCCAACACACCGCTTGCCATTAAACTTTCGCCCCTTGCAGCTCCTTATGCGCGTCTGCTGGCCTGGGATTTCCTTGCAGCGGATTGAGCTCACATGTGGGCGAATGCAGGGACTCCAGCTGCCCCAGTCCTCCCACTCTCCATCCACTGTAGGGACAGGGGGCACCAGGGTGCAGATCAAAGTGGGGAGCCAGTAAAGGGGCTTAGGGAAGGAAGGAAGGCTGGGGGAGAGCGGGGGCGGGGGTGCTCAGATGTGGGGCTGGGGAACTGGAGGTAGAACCAAGGCACGTGGGCCAGGAAAGGAGGAATAAGAGGCAGGAACAAGGTCTCAGCAGCAGGAACTGTCAGCAGAGATGGGTGAGGGGCTAAAGCATAAGACATGGAAACAGAGCCTCCTGAGGTGCTAACCAGGGCAAGGCACAGCTGTGTTACAGATGTGGGTACGGGTGTCATCACCAATGCAGAAGGGGCCTCCATGCTGGGGCACAGGGTCATTGCACATCCGTCGTTCCAAGATTTGGCCCAGGCCACAGGTCACAGAGCAGGGGCTCGCAGGGCCCCATGGCCCCCAGCCCCCAGCCACTGTTGGAGGGAGAAAAGGGAGTAAGGATTAAGGCCACTTCAGTCCTCCCTCAGCCCCAAGACCTGTGAGGTAGACTGCCCCCGACCCTTGCATACCTGGGCAGAGTGGTAGGCCAGAGCAGTCCCGCCTCTCATAGGCTGCTCCTGGACAGGGCTTTCCAGCAGGAACCTTGGAGGGCTCAGGTGCAGAACATATGCGGCTTCGTGTCTCCTTAGGTTTGTTGGTTTCATCATAGCAGGTGCTCGAGCAGGCACTCCAGGAGCCCCAGGCCGACCAGGCGCCATGGGCTGTGGTGGGAGTGGGGGGTCACACACTGGTTAGGCATGCTGAAGTCCTCTCACCCTGGCAGTTTTCTGCTTTTATCCCATAGACCCATCCTGGGTATCCACATCAGTGTCCTGTGGCAGCTCTTACTCACTAGGGCAGATCTGCTGGGTGTCACAGGCCTCTGACTCCTGGGCCACTCCTAGGCAGTGGCCCCCACACTTGGGGGCAGGGTTATTACATACTCGCCGGCGGGTCCGGATTCCTTTGGAGCAAGTGACTGAGCAAGACCCCCAGGACCCCCAGTTAGACCAGCCGCCCATCTCTGTGGGTGAGAAGAGAAGGGAATGGGATGGAAGTGGGAGTGCCATTCATGGATCCTCACTCATTTCCTCACGGGCCCCACACCCGGTAACCCTGTCCCTGGGCTCTTTGTTCCCACACCTGGCCCACAGCATTGCTCATCTAGCCTACAGCAGCAGCCTTCACACTGGTCTCTCCGCTTCGGGCCTCGGGTACAGACTGCTCTATTTCCAAACAAGGCAGATTGCATTTCTCCCCTGACCATGATGAAAGTCACTCAGACTAAAGCTGATGTCCTCACTGTGGCCCTCTTTTCCTCCCACCACTCTCCTCAGGCCACCCAGGCTGCTCATTTTCTCAAAGCATCCAGCACTGCCCACCCTTACAGCCTCTGCACCAATGATTCTGTTGCCACAGGTCATGTGATAGGAGGTGCTCATCCACCTTGCTAGGCATCCTCACCAGGACAGCATTCCTTCTCCACACAGGCCCGCAGCTGCCATTCAAGGGTCCCAAGAGCCTTGTTCTCTGAGCAATGCCCACCCCAGCCTATGCAGCGTCGGTAGCCCAGCTGGGAGCCCTCAGAGCATGACACTGAGCAGGGGCTCCATGAGGACCATGATGACCATTGTGGGGACCTGTGAAGAAGAGCACATGTTCCATCCTGGTACAAAATGACACGATGGCTTGCGGCACTCCAGAGTGTTAGAGGCACACGAGAAGAGGCTATGTAAACGTGAAGGATTGATTGATGAGTATCTACCCCTTAAAGATGATGGGGGATTGAATGGGAAGAGGTGGGTACATGGTAAGTGCTTGGCAAATGTCCTTTTGCTTCATGACCATGGCCCTGGAGTTAACCACTGGAAATCCCCTCAAGGACAAATCCATGTACACAGTAAGCAAATGTAAGGAGTAGGAGACTGGGATTCCTGCCAGAAACCCAACAGGTCACCACCCTGCATGGTGGGAAGCAGACAGGAAGTGCTAAATAAACAGAAGCCATCCTCCCAATGAGCACGGAGGCCCCCTCAGAAACACCCCTGCTAATGCTAAGTAGGGGCCCAGAGCTGCTCTCAAAAATTCCCAAGGCCCCAGCCTCATGGTATATCTGGAATACTATGGTAAGCAGAAAATATAGCTGGAGCTGGGCATGGTGGCACGTGCCTCTATTCAGGAGACTTAAGCAAGAGAATCCAAGTTCAAGGCCAGCCTTGGCAACTTAGACTTGGTCTTAAAAAATAAAATAAAATAATAGAACAAAATAAAATAAGCTGTGGATGTAGTTCAGTGCTCCCTGGGTTCAATTCCTGGTACCAAAAAAAAAGAAAGAAAAAATATATTTGTAATACACTCAGGGGTTGATACATGTAAACCAGTAATCAAGATTAGGAGACTAGAGTTACCCTCAGGAATCCTCAAACAGCTGCCCAGCTCCTGTAATTCGCCAGTATAGGAACAGTGCTCAAGGATGGTAAAGTGTCATCACGATTAGGGCTCTGGGGTTGTCCTCATGTGTTTGTACACAGTAAGCAGTCAACAAATAGAGCTGTCATCACAATTCCGGGGTTACCTTCAGAAATATTCTGAGTTACCTTCAGAAATATTTGAGCTGCAACCCACCTGTAAAACACTTCACGGCACTATAGCAATGATTTTCTACCAGGGCTGCCTTTGCCCCCTCCCCACTTTTGGATGATGTGGCAATGACTGGAGTCATCTTTGGCTGTCTCAACTGGTGTGCATAGGGAGACTGGTGCTAACATTTACTGGAAGGGTAGGGATGTTATAAAATATCCTATAATGCAGAGATCAGAGAAAGAAACTCCCAGGCCTAAATGTTAATAGTGTCAAAGCTGAGAAACCCTGAGCTATGGTTGTGGTCAGGACCTTGGGGGGCCACGCTGGGGGACCTAGAGAAAGAAAGAATCCAGGTCAGGGTCACCATCCTTTTCACCTTCCCCCCAGCTCAGGCACCCTGAACCTGCACGCCTGGCAGTGCACATCGTCATGCTCCTTGAAGGCGTAGGCAGCATTGAGACAGCAGTCCTCCACACTGATGTCTCTCCCCAGGAGGCCCTTGCACCTGCCTGTGGAGTCCTCATACTGGGTAAAGCAGAGCACTGGGTCTGAGCCTGTAATAGGACCAGGGCAAGGGACATGGACAGTCACGGATGTGGTGGGCCTGGGCACCCCTGGCAACAGCTAGTCCCTCCCCACTCACCTGTGGCTGGCAGGGTGAATAGCAGCAGCAGCGACAGAGGGACCTGTACTGGGGCAGTCATGATGAGCACACCGCTGTGCCTCTGCCAGAGGGGTCTGGCTTGATCTGAGCTGACCTGCCGCTGGAAAGAGGAATCTGCCCGCCGCAGGAGGAACTGGGAGGGCACTGCGGAGGCCTCTCCAGCTCTTCCCGCTTCCTGGCTCCTCTGCCTCTTTTCTCTCCTTCCCATTTCCTGTGTCACCCTTAGTTCTGTTTTGTCACCCAATCACCAGTGCCTCATGCTCTGCTCCACCAAGCAACCTTTCAGCATTCAATCAATGTGCTTTGGACAAATTCTCACTGGGGGGGCAATGGGGCCTGGAGTCTGGAGAAAGACGTCTGTGGCCAAGTCACATCAACCTTTCTGAGCCTCAGTTTCCCCATCTGTAGGAATGTACACTCTCAACCACAGTGGCATGGTCAACCCCATGGCAGTGCTGAATGTGGGTGAACTGAATGTGGTCCTTCTTATGGGGTGGAGGAAGCATGGATCGGGGAAATTGCTTTGTTCTCCAGCCAGACTGAACCTTGCCCTCGTCTTTCTGAAAAGTGAGGTTCCTTGTGGTCAGCATGTATGTGTGTGGGGATCAGCACAAGGGAAGTGAGAAGAGGAAGTGGGCTGGTGTGAGAAGGAACTCGGAAAGGACACAATTGGGGATATCCGTTCCCCTGGGGGCTAACTAAGGGTACTTTCTAACACTGGGGCAGGGGTAAACAGGAAGGAACTGGCTTTAGGTCACTGTTGGGCAGGTACCACTACTCCGAGCCTGTTCCTCCTCTGTAAGTACACATGGACAGCACCAACAACATAGGTCAGGCTTGGTGCGAAGATTAGGAGTCAAGACTTTTAAGTCGCTTGGACGGTGTGGACAGTGCCTGGCAACTCTGTTACACTGATTTGCTCAACATTTATTGAGCACCTATCAGATGCCATATGTGGCTCTCAGGATTAGATGGAACAGAGAACAGACCAGACAAAAATTCTGCCCTCCTAGGGACTGATACTATAAAAGAGGAGACAACGAATATCACCTCTTTCACAGAGGCCATTCCCAGCTAACCTTGGATAACATCCCTGTCACTCTCTAGCTCAGTGTCTCTTAAACCAGCGTATACATCAGAATCACCCCCAAAAAACTGGAGAAAACTGCGGATCATTGGGCCCCACACCCGGAATTCTGAATGTGTATTTCTAACAGGTTCCTAGTTGACAACTGATGCTGCTGGCCTGGGGACCACACTTTTAGAACGGCCGTTTCAGTCCTTAGTCCTTAATTTACTTTGTAGGTCTCAGCTACAGAAAACAATCCCACATGCTCTGTTTTACTGTTAATGATGAATTCCTCTTCAGCCCACTTTTCTTGCAGGTGAAACTGAGCTCCACAGTCCTGCTATTTCCTCTTTTTCATAGCCCTAGTGAGTGAAATTCCAGAGCCTGTCGTAAAAGCAACAATTTTGTGGGCTGGGGGCGCAGCTCAGTGGTACACTGCTTGCCTAACACGTGCGAGGCCCCAGGTCTATTCCTCAGCACCACAAAAAATAAATAAATAAAAACAATCTTTTCAATTAACAAAAAGCCTGAGAAAGGGAGGAAGGAAATACCTCATTTCTCCTGCATTCACAGAGAAAATACAATTCTATAAATTAAAACAAGATAAAAGAATCTGGTCAGGGGCTAAGATAGAAGTTTCTCAAGAGTACTGCTCACTGGTGCATACCAGTAATGCCAGCACTTGGGAGGCTACGGCTGGAGGATCACCATGAGTTCGAGGCCGGAAGGCTGAACTACATAGCAACACCCTGTCTCAAAAAAATAGAAATAAATAAAAAGAATACTGCTCTTGTTTTGGGGCGACAAGGTGTGTGTTAATATTTGTATCCATTACAGATGTACTCTGTTCTCAGAGAATATAAGCCTGTTTCTGAGTGTGTGCTTTGAACAAAGGGGTCTTGTTAAGATTCTAAGACTTCAGCTGTCAGCGCTGTTATCCTGTGAAAACAAACTCCCCAAGAAACCTGCAATTCTGCCTGGCTGTTTTATTTAATAACCTGCTGCCCTGGTAATAATGTTATAATCGATATTTCTGTTGTTCCTTAACTGCATAAATACTCATAAGATTCCCTGTGGATGAGGATTGTCTGCACTTTTATTTTCTCCCGCACACATTTAGGCATTAAAATGACTCTGCAGACTCCTTTAAACAAAGAGTGAATCTTGTCTTAATTATTACATTATTGCCTGATACAATGTATTTATGTGTTTCCTGTCAGTCTTCCTCACTGAGTATCAGCTCCACAAGGGCAGAGATTTTTGTCTGGTATGTTAACTGCTGGGTCTGCAGGCTAGTAGATGGGTACCAGCAAGCAGTAGATGCTCAATAAATGTCTGCTGAGTGCATGAACAAAGCAAAGAACAAAACTTGAGGTTCTAGTAAGTGCTTAAAGGAACAGTCTGAGTTGAAGATAGGTCACTTTGGGGAATAATTCGCATTTCAAGGGCTGGATCTGGGTTAGACCACTTAGAGAGGGTGCAGGACAAGGGAGCCCCCAGCATTTCAAGTTTTGGAGAACTCGGAGGAGCCAGCCCAAGGGGCTGAGTGGGAGGGGCCTGTGGAGGCAGCAGACAAAAGAGAGTTTTTCTCCTAGGCCAGGCAATTCAATCCATGGCCTCTAATACACTGGTCTCATTCTCTCATGTTCAATTTGTTTTTACCTGTATACATAAAGTTCTGGATTTGCAGCCTCTGCTGCAGTTATTTGTGAACAAGCCCAAATATATATATATTCCAACACACAGTCTCAGACAATGTCACTTACGTACTCAGGGAGTCACTTCCTGACACTGATCCCCAGCCTCACTGCAGTCTCCTACTAACAGTTCCATGCACACAACCATGCTTCATGGCTTGACTCATTCATTATCACCGATGTTTTTTCTCATTAGTTTTTCACATACACACGGTCACATAATCTAATAACACAAGTCACTTCATTCAGCCATTTTTCACATCCACAAATAGTCACTGATTCACATTCCTCATTAACTGGGCTCTCAAGAAGTTTTTCACACAAAATCACCATCTCTCCTTCCATTACTCAAGCCACTTAAAGCCCTGTGGTTTCTGATTATAGCCTTTTACAGCCTCCCATGAATGGTTTCACATGCACACACTATCACACAGTGTACTGTATCAGACTCTGCCCTCACCTGCTCCCACATTTCTTCTCAGCTTTCACCATTCCAAGTTTTTGATTTATAGTCTTAAAAAAAGTCTTTTACAGCGTTTCACACAGAGACACACAACCAATTTCTCGGACACTGGCTCACTCAGCCATTCAGCCTTACCTCCTCGTATGCTTCTGATGCCTGCGGACACTAATCCCAATTGCTGCGGGACTCCACGCGTCTCACACAATCAGGTGTCCACGCTCCGTGTCAGTCGTGCACACCGTCTTCCTCCCACAGGCAGCTTGCTTACAGGCGCACGTGCACAACTATAATCTCTGAAGTGTCTCACACACTCTGATCACAGACACTCAGTGTCTCACTGGCTTGGTTTTATTTTGTTTTTTCACAAACATGTGCTCTCGCTTTAGTTTTATGAGATGGTTCATACATTCACACACTGCTCAGTTGTCAAGTTTCTTTCCCCTGGCTACTGAGTTCCTGGCCTTTCTGCTCTCCGCCTCTCACCAACATTGCTGCTTCTTTCTCCCTCATGGACCATTCTGTGGCGACGGCACCACTTCAGTCTCTCAGTCTCACCAGAACCCGCGGAGACTGTAGCGGTTACTAGAAGCCAGAGCGCCGCTTGTCTCAGCGCATGTGTGTTATGGTTTATATCTGTGTCCCCCCCCAAAGCTTCCTGCGGCCCTGGGGCAGGCTATTAGAGTTTGAATACGGGTGTGAGAGCTACACCCATCCTGGGGTGGATAGTTTGCATATGTCAGGGAGAGGAGGAAGCTGCTTGGGGGCATTCCTCCTCCCGGATTCCACCGCGGTGTGTGTGTGGTGGCAGCTTAGCTGTGGCTGCCGCCCTGAGATGCAGCCCTCTGCCACGTGCCACTCTGCCTGATAATCTGCCAAGTACGGGCTGAGACTTCCACGAACTGTAAGCAAAATAAACCTTTCCCTCCTTAATTTTGGGCGTCAGGTATTTTGTCCCAGCAGCGAGAAAAAAGTAACCAAGACAATGTGCATGTTCACATGTACACACACGCAATGATAGCCTCCCGGTCCCAGCTATCCGATTTCTTATCATCTTTTCCAGTCATCACAAAAAGTTTTCAGACACATATTCTTGTACCTTGGATCTCAGTATCTCTCAGCTCTCACAGTCATTTCTTTTTATCTTTCTTTTTTAAGGGAGGAAAGGTTTATTTAGCTCACAGTTTGTAGAGATTTTGGTCCATAATCGATGGCCATTTTCTCTCACACCATCAACTCACAGACACTCCTGTGACTTCAGCTGACACTTCAGCCTCGCATAGCTTCACACAGAAGCAATTTTTCACTCCACAAGTTACGACCAGTCAGTCTCCTGCTTTCTCACAGTAAGGCCTCTTACCTACACCTGGTCCCTGACAGCCTCTACCTGTTTCCTGGCCACATAGTCTCTCACACTCAGTTTTGGTTACTCACTCTGTCTCGCTCAGCATCAGCCTGTCAAATACTGACTGATCTGTAGTTCCCATTGCCCTCTCTCAAATATTTCATGCATGTCATCACAAGTTTTTGTGCAGGATTTTTTTTGGCTCTGCTGAGGATTGAACCCAGGGCCTATGCATGTTAGGCAAGCACACTCCACCACAGAGCTACATCCCAACTCTCTCTTTTTTTGTCTTTTTGAGACAGGGTCTTGCTCTGCAGTTCAGGCTGGCCTGGAGCTCACTTGTAGCCCAGGCTGGTCTCGAACTCGCAACGATCCTCCTGCCTCAGCCTCCCGAGTGTTGGGATTACAGGCGTGTGCCACCACCCCCCGCCCCAAGTCTGGTACAGTTAATCTTTCATCAAGTTTTAGTTGAGTTTCTGAAAACACAACCTCAATTTCTTGTATAGACACACTGTCAAAAGTTTGCGGTCACAACTTCTGCTCCTCTCTCATACACATAATACACATAATCACAGCATTCTACACTTTCACACATACCTGGTCACCAATTGTCAGTCTCAACTACAGTTTCTGACACATGTCATCACACTATTTCTCTCACAGTCAACCTCTCCTTCACACTCTCATTGCCCTTTCACACAAAGTTATGCCTATCACACTCAGCTCGTCATGAAGACATCGGGGTGGGGGGAAAAATGCCAGCAGCCTCCAGCAACACTTTTAAAAATATATATTTACAGGAACAATTCCCCATTCTCTGGGACTCTTAGAAAAAAAAGGTCCATTTTGGGGAAGTAAAACAGACAAGTTCAGCATTGTCTCCCAAATCACGAACCCCCGGTCCCCAGGCCTGGACTGGTGCTAACAGGGGATGGGCTTAGCAGTCTTTTGAACCCACCCTCTCCAGCCTGGAATTGAGACATGACAGGCTTTATGTCCCTCATTCCTCCCTCCCAACTCCAGGGACACTTAAAGGGTCCTTTGTACCCGCCCGCAGGAAATTGGGGGGCTGGGAGGGAGGGAGCTGAAAATACATGTTTGGTATCAAAAATAAACACTTGGGGTCGGCAGGAAGACTCCCCTCAAATCCCTTCCTTCCCACCCACCCACCCCACCAGATATAGGAAGAGATGCCTCCCTCTCCCTTATTGAAAAGCCCCGTTTAAAAATAGATTATACTATCAAAATGGCAGGGGGGTGGGAGACAAGGAGACCTGGAGTACTGGCTGGAGGAGTCCCCCAGACGGGGATCAGCTCCCAAGAAAACCCTCCATTGGGAGGTAAGAGGCAGACCCCAGGAAGTTTGGCAGACAAAGGAATGGCTTCTCAGGGGGGAGAAGAATAAAAGGGATGTTTCTCCCTGGCCAAAATGTTAGTTGATAAAAGGACAAGCTGTCTGAGAGAGAGGTTGGAGAGGTGGCAATTCAAATTGTAAGAGTGTAATTCCTCCTTGGCGAGGACTCCCACCCTATGAAACCACACAAATTCTTCCCGGACCCTTGGGTACGACCAGGAGTAACAAAGCAAACTAGCTTTTCTACCTACACCCCAAAATATAGACAGGGTTCCCTCATCTCCCCAAGGGCAGGCTGAGAAATAAATAAAGAAAGGTCTTTCTCAAGCCAGACCCTGATTGTCTTGCCTTGGGGAAAAAGAGTGGGGAGATGGGGGAGATGTCTTAACCACCCCTCTGAAAGGGTTGGGCCAGGCTCCTCCCAGTGGCCTTCAAAAAATAAATAAATAAACCATCCCTACCACTGAAGTAGGAGATGTATAAGGGCGGCCACTGGGGGACTGGTGAAGAAGAGAGAAATGGTGTGTTTTCCACGGACGAGTTAGTGTAAGAGATTCTTCTTCCCAGGAATCCCACCCCACCACAACCAGAGCACGAGTCTGTCAGATGAACTATGTTTCTCCTTGAGATGGCTGGCTGGAGAGAAGTCCATGGGCATGGATGGAGTGACCCCAGAAGGGGCAGTGGTGGTGGTAGTCATGGCTTCTGGGGCCCTGGGGAGAGCACCACGGGGGTCGAGAGGCCATCCACGCTGATGGAAGGGATGTGCACATGGGCGCTGCCACTGGACGGAAACTGGGGGCAAAAACGGAGAGGTCACAGATGGAAGCCATGTTAGTGCCTCTCACCCTCTCCAAGGCGGGGGAGGGGATCCTACCTGGAAGGAGAGTTTGGCCGGGCTACGGGGCGCGATGGGACTCAGCGTGCTCCAGAAGTGAATGCTGGGGGGCAGCGAGCTGGGCGTCAGCAGCACCGGGGTCTGCATGGAAAGGGGGGTCAGAGCTCAAGTGAGCACAAGGCAGGTGTGGGAAGATGAAAGGAACTTGGTCTCAGCCCACTACATTTTCCCAGACTTTCTACAGTCACTCCTCAAGTTTAATTTTTTATTTTTTAATTAGATTCACTCCTCAAGTTTATAGACTGAGACTACAACTACTAACGGTAGGTCCTTGAAATCTCTCAAACTCTACACAGACACCCCTTCCCAACTCCTCAGACTCCATTTCCTGTTGCTGAGACCGCATCGGACAAGACACTCAACCAGACTCTACACACAGGCAGCTCTCAAGCGTTACAAGTACCACCCCAGTAGCTCAGGGTCTATGCAAATCCTGGAGCATAAAGCCCCACACCACCCAAAAACAGTTCCCATAGAAAGCCTCTGGGCCTCTTACTCCCAGATCTGCCTTTCCTAAAGTCCCATCCCAGTCCAAGCCTCAGCACAGCCAATCACTCTGGAAGGTTCTACCCTCTTCAGAGATAACCACATTTATCCTAGACTGGTGGATGGCAGTTACCCATTAAGTGCCAATGCCCTCCCTCTGGGCTACCAGCCACACCCCTCTACAAGGACTCACCAATGTATGCGTAGGTAACAGGGATGGCGTCAGTGCCGGCCCCGGGGCCTGCAGACCAGAGCCAGTTCCTGAACCTGGAGTCCGTTCAGGTCCTGGTCCACCCAGCAGGCTCGGGCTGAGCGGAAGCTCCAGGTCCCGGGGCTTCCGACCCTTCTGTGGCTGAGTGATCTCTGGGGTGGAGACCACATGACCACCTGCTTGTGCTGTAGTCTCCATAACTGGAGGCAGCCGGGCCGGTACACCCTCCGCAGGAGGGACTTCCGGCTCAGCCTTGGAAGCTTCTGGCACAAACCCCACTTCCGCAGCAGCTTCCAACTCTTCCTTGGGCCCCTCCACCTTCACTTCTGGGGGAAGTGGCCGGCCCAAACCTGGCTCCACATTCAGCTCTTCTGATTTCAGGTTTGGAACCTCGGGTGGAGTCAGGATGACCTAGGAAAGGGGAGGGCACAAGAGGATCCCTGAGGTAGAGAACCTCTCTCCTGTAAGCCATTCAATGATTTCCCTGGGAGGACGCAATTTGGTACTGGGAGCATGACTATCTATCAGGGCAGGTCTTCCAACAGGACATGGGGCTTTTTAAAGGAAGCAGAACTTCCTTTGGCGTGGTACAGGTTTTCCTATGAGGAAGGGAATCTGGGGTAAAAATCTGATAGGGGAAGGGCTCCTGATATCAGCCTCATTCTTGAGAACAGTGGTTCTCAAATATCTACTTTAGCTGGGCGTGGTGGCACAGGCCTGTAATCCCAGCACTCGGGAGGCTGAGGCAGGAGGATGGATGCAAGTTCGAGGACAGCCTGGGCTACAAAGTGAGCTCAAGGCCAGCCTGAACTGTATACTGAGACCCTGTCTCAAAAAAAAATATCTACGTTAAAGACCTGTAGCATCTATTTGAAAGTTGTTAATAATGGAATTTTTTGCATCTCATTCTCAGATCCTCATAATCAGAAACACTGGGGGTGGGTCCCAGAAATCTGGCTTAACAAGCTACCCTGGTGATTCTGATGAGCACTGAACGATAAGAACCAGTGCATTCCGATAATTACATTCAGGGCATGCATTCCATGTTGGGTAACTACTAATTGTAGCACACTTTTTCTCCTTTTTCGTTCTCAGGATTTGCATAGCTCTCCTCCCCAGCCCTTTCTGAAGGTGATGTATTTGTCCCTCCTTCCACTATTATGGCCCTTAACAGGACGCGTCTCTTCGCCTACCAATCCCATGCCTCGTTTCAGAATGTGCGTCCCTCCTCCTTACCCAGCTTCGCTGAATCTCCACACTTGAGTACTTACCTGCAAAGGCAGGCCTGCCTCTTCTGCCTCCAAACAGGCCTCCAAGGGGTTTGGACTGGTGCTCCTGCTCCCCGAGGGGGGCACTGCTGCTCCTGCGGGGGTGGTGTTGGGGAGCACCGAGGCAGGCCGAGGGTGAGGGGGTGGCTGTGGCTGTGGCTGTAGGGACTGGATGGTGAATGTGGAATAGAGGCCCGAGCGCATGTATTCATTACGGCTGCTGCGCGCCAAACCACCTGGGCCTGCCATTCCTGCACCCTTGGGTGTGCCTGGCTTTCCGGAGGCAGTGTCCCCAGAGGCTACATGTACAGCAGCAGGGGCCACATTTGCCACTGTAGAAGCTACAGACACCTCAGGTTGGGGTGGGCAGTCCTCTGTGGAGCACCGTGCAATCTCAGGGTAGGACACAAACTTGTAGACGAACTTCTGGCCACTCACCTTGCGGATGATATTCTGGGAAAGGAGAAGACAGAGCCATAGGCCTTAGAGGAAAAGGGCAGGGTGGAAGGAGGACATTGCCAGGTATTTCTCTTCTGGCATCTTTCTTCCTACTTGTTCGCACTGCCCTCTGAGACCAGAAACAGGGTGATTCATCTGTTTCTCAGTGTGTGGGCTCCTCTATTTTCCTGTCTATACCTCCTCCCAAGTTTTTCCCCCTTTTCTATTTTCCCTCTCCATAATTCCTTCTTTTACCACTTTTTTCTCCCTAGCTTCAAGAACTACAGGTTAACAGAGTTGGGTCTTGGGGTGGCTGCCAGGGCATAGTTTTGCTACTATAAAAGACAGAAAAATGAAGTAGTTGATCTAAATGTTGGCAGACCACATTAGTACAGATAAATGGAAACATAAACTATTGATACAGAAAATCATTTGAAGCTATTGACACAGACATGGAACAAAGCAAGGTCACTATGAAAGACAGGGTGAGGCCTCATTAATACTGTCGTGGAAAGTAAGTAACTGAGTAACTGACAGCAATTAGACAAGAACATTAAGATACTGGTATAAATACTGGAAGAGGGATCTCTGGGCTGGCTTGGGTGGGTCACAGTGCACACTTGGGGTATTTCAGGACGTGCTTAGCCTGGAGAGTCTCAGGGATGTTCTGGTGGTCTCAGAGGGCAGAATGTGGTAACCTCATTATTAACACTGTGTTGGAGGTTTGAGCCAAGGGACTAAACTATGAAAATGAAATATATACCATACAATAGCATAAATATCATAAGTTATTAATGATGTGAAACAGGTATAGGGCTGTTTAGGGGGGCAAGAAGAATATTGGGTGGAACTAGGACATTCTGTAGCAGTCATAATGCTAGTCAGGTATACAACAATGTTGGCTTATGTCTCTCAGAAGAGCAATGCACAGGGATATTCACTAACACTGTTTTGGAGATTTCAGCTAAGGAAATATGATGAAATGAAATGGTATAAATACTGGGTGGAGACAGCCAGTGGTGGTCTATGGGTCTGAGAAGGCAAGATGAGGAAAATCTAAAATTTTAGCTGTAGGAATAAGAGGATAAAACAATTGATGTAAATGGTGGGGTGGACCAGCTTTGTTCTGGGAATCCGAGAGGATGGAGTGAAGATCTAGCATTGTACATGTTGCCCTAGAGGCTTTAGCTAAAGTTATAAAGGAAGAAAGGAAGATAACTGATCAAAATTTTGCAGATTTCAGAGAATGAAATAAGGAAAGGTTAGGATAAAACTGTCAGGGTGGTTTTGAGTCAAAGAATAAGAAGATGAAAGAGTCTGGAGTAAAAGAAGGTTATTAAATAAGCGGGGGAGCCTAGCATTGGTCCACAGGTTCCAGAGGACATGATGAGGACAGTCACTGTCAACAGTGCTCTCAAAGTTTGGTCTATAAGAACAAGGCACAGAAATGAGGACATAGTGGGACAGCACTGTCTGGGGGACCTCAGAAAGTAGGATGAGAAGCAGTCAGTATTAATACTGCTGTAAAGCTTTTAGCCAAAGCAGTAAGACAAGAAAATATAATAAATGAGATAAATGTTTAGGGTCCAACATTGGTTTGCATATACTAGAGGGTGGGATAAGAAATAGTAAATTTTAATACTGCTTTCAACATTATAGTTACAGAAATTAAGATAAGAATATGAAATTTATTTTTCTTTCTTTGTGGTGCTTGGGATTAAACCTAGGGCCTTGTGCATGCTAGGCAAACACTACTACTGAGCCATATCCCTCATCTCTGAAAATGAGCTGGAAGTGGTGGTGCACACCTATAATCCAAGCACTCGGGAAGCTGAGGCAGGAGGATCACTGTGAGTTCACGGCCAGCCTGAACTACATAGTGAGACCCCCATCTCAACAATGCCCCCTAAAAACTCCAAAAAAACTAGTTCTGAGGGGCTGGGGATTTAGCTCAGCAGCACAGCGCCTGCCGGGCAAGTGTGAGGTCGTGAGTTCAATTCCCAGTACCAGAAAAATAACCAAAAAAAAAAAAACACCTAGTCCTGAAAATTGAATTTCTGGCACAAATTTCAGGGGGCCCCAGGTCTGATCCCAGAGGCCATACCTTGTCATAGTAGTACCGCAAAGCCCGGCTGAGCTTGTCATAATTCATGTTGGTCTTGTTCTTGCGCAGTCCCCACAGCCGGGCCACCTCCTCTGCATCCACCAGTTTGAACTCACCACCATCCCTCGAGGTCCAGGAGATGATGTGGCCATTGCCTTGCTCTCTCAGCAGCTGCAGCAGAAACTGCCACAGTGTCACAGATGGGTCCATCGCTGTGGGGAGTGTTCACGCCATCCCAGGGGTACCTAGAGGATAGACAGCTCAGAACTGAGAGGCTGTGGGTAGATGAGGAGGCTGAGGACAGGAAAAGGACAATTTCTTTGTTATCTTGCCTCCACCTCTACCCCCAAACCCCACCACCATTCCCTTAAGTACACTTACACAAACATCTAAGCTCCCGTTTAGCGTTGGATGCTCCCTGTTATGCGATGAGTTTTAAAGATCTGAGGATGGTGTGAATGTATTTTGTGTGTGGGACAAATGCAAATCTTTGCAGACCAGAGAGCAGACTATGGTTGGCACATATGCTGTCAGGGCCCCCAAGGATGTCCATATCCGAATTCCTGGAATTTGTGTGTTTGCCGTGGTACAAAGCAAAAATAAACTTTCAGATGAAATTAAAGTTATAGACCTTAAAAGCACAAGAAGGAGGCAGAAACACAGCTCAGACATGGGGTGGAAAGAACAGGTGGGAGAGATTCCAAGTGTGAGAGGGACTCGATCTACCATTACTGACACTGAAAATGGAGAAAGGTGGCTCTCAGCCAAGGAATGTGGGCAGCCACTTAAAGTTGGAATGGCTCTCAGCCAATAGCCAGTAAGGAAACAGGGACCTTCGTCCTACAACTCAAGGAATGGAACACTGCCAACAACCCAAATGAGCAGGAAATACTTCTACTGTGGAACCTCCAGAAAGGACCAAGCCCTGCCAGTACCTTGGTTTTAGCCTGGTGAGACCAGTGTTAAGATTTCTGACCTACAGAGCTATCAGAGAATAAATATGTTGCTTTAAGCAGCTAAGTCTGAGATGAATTTATTACAGCAAAACTAGAAAACGAGCACACCCCCCCACCTGACCTTTATCATCCGTATCTTCTACCATATCATGTCAAAGTTTTCAGAAGGCACCTTTTGCCAGACCCTTGCAAATGGTGTTCACTGTGTATGGGGCTCCCCCTTCCTTTGCTTAGCAGTCTTCCTCATCTTTCAATTCTCAGCCCGAGGGTCCTTTTCTTCTTTCCTTTATGAAGCCTCCCTGAAACTGATTACTTGTTCTCCTCTACTCCTTCCACTCATCACTTTGTTTTGTTTTTTGCAGTGCTCGGGATAAATCCAGGGCTTTGTACACGCTCTACCATGGACCTCTAATTCCAACCCTTTTGCACTGAGGTATATCCTCAGCCCTTGTTTGTTTTTGATTTTGAGACAGGGTCTTGCCAAATCATTAAGTTGCCCAGGCAGGTTTCAAACCTTCAATCTTCCTGCTTCAGCCTCCCAGAGTATAGGATTCACAGGCATATGCTGCCACCTCTGGCTACCTTGGGTATAGTATAGTCTTTAACCTTCTTGTAATTTAAATTCTCTCATCTGTGAAACAGGGATAATGACATGCCCATCTGTGAAATAATTATTATGGGGATTAAATATAATATGCCTCTGGTATGATAAGCTCTAAATAAAATTAGTTTCTGATTTGTTCAGAATTCCTTCTCCACTACCCTAAAACCCATATATCTTTCAAAATAGAAAGCTTCTTTGTAACTGTTTTGGCAGCAACTTTGATTCGAAACAAAACTAGGTTCTTTCTGGTCTTTATTCATCCTCAGTTAGTGTGGCTGTTCATACATTCTGCTGCAGAAATATGAACCCAGCCGATGACAGAGTTTGCTGAGGATGTTATGTAACATATCATATGTGCACCATATTACCTTTCTAGAATCTGAAAAATTTGCAGTTTCGAAACACATCTGGCCCCAAGGGTTTTGGATAAGGGCGTGAAGACCTGGTCTGTTATTAATTGTAGGCTGTGACTCATTTATCCTTCATCCCGACTCTGAGAAGTAGGTATTTTTATTATCACTAACTTATAGATGAAGCAGCAAAATGTCTAAGTGACTTCCACAGGCCACACACCTGTAAGGGGCAGGGGCAGCATTTGGGCCCAGCAACGAGGTTCCAGTGGTCTAAGCATTTTGCCATCAGGCTGTGCTGCCCTCACATGGACGGCTCCCTCTTGGCATCTCCTTCAGAGAACAGACTCTTCTCTGTCATGCCACTGCTGCCATTTCCTGGCAACAAACTGGGAATAAACATGAGCCTCTGGCTCCCCAAGGGAATAACTTTCATCAATCCACTGTCCACCTGCCTCAGAGTGTTGGATTAAGAATAAGCCTTCTAAATCAGAAAGCATTGAAGAGCCTCTCTTTATTATTTATGGCTTTGCTCTTTTTTGGAGGGGGTACTGGGAATTGAACTCAGAACCTTGTGCCTGCCAGGCAGGTGTGGCTTTGCTCTTTAATCTGCAGTGAAATATACAATGTGACCCTCTTATAGTTAGTTTGTGCTAACTTCAAGTTCGTTGAGTAGCAGTGTGAGGCAACTGTAGAAGTCACTAAGCCATGAAGTGCTGGATTCCAGTCCTTTCCTCGGAGGCTCCCTGTATTTTCTTTTCAAGGCTGGCTTCTCTCAGAGGCCCACAGAGTTCAGTGTGACTCCTGGTGGTGAAAACAGGCAATTTTTCCTAGTTCGTCTGAGCTGCTGCAGAATCTCTCGGCTATGTGAAATCTGATGGTCAGTTTCTGACCTGAACACACAGGCTGTTTGTGCTTTGCTTTTTTCACCTTTCTCACTTGACCCCTTGGGAAAGTGCTTGTAATCTGCCTTACTCAGATGGGTTTATTTTTCTTCACCTCATTCACTGAGCAAGCTTTCACTGAGTGCCTACTGTGGGCCAAGTGCTGGGATATAGCCACAGACTCAACAGATAAGAATCCCTGTTCTAGCCAGGCATGGTGCTGTTCACTTGTAATCCCAGCACTCTAGGAGGTTGAGGCAGGAGTGTCACAAGTTCAAGCCCAGCCTGGGCAACTCAGCTGGGGATGTAGCTCAGTGGGAAAGCCTAGGTTTGATCCCCAGTACTACAGGGGTGTGTGGGGGGGACCAGATTTTCTGCTCTGGCCCCGCATGGTGGTACAAGCCTGCAATGCCAGCACTCAGGAAGTAGGAAGATCATGACTTTAAGGACAGCTTAGGCTACATAGTGAGATCTTGTCTCCAAGTAAACAAAAAGAATCCTTGATTAGGAGAGCTCACATTTCAGTGGAGGCAGACAGACAAGAAACAAGGCAAACAAGCCAGGAGTATGGCAGATGGTGATAAGGGTTAGGAAAAAAAGAATCAAGCAGGGAAGGAGCTGTTTGCTTTTTCCAAGGGCAGTCAGGGGAGGCCAGCATTGAGGGTAACATCGAAGACCCAAAGGCGGTCAAAGAGTAGGCCAAGCTGCCAGGTTGAAGGCTGAGGCTGGGGTGTCAACAGACAGTTTGGGGAAGGGGAGGAGCTAGAGGCAGATGAGAACAGAGGGGCACTGGGGTTCCGGATGGGTGAGGTTTCCATGGGCACTGTCAGGACTTGGGCTGCAGGTGAGACAGGAGCCATGAGAGGGTTGTGAATAGACAGGCGAAAGCCCGTGGCTTGGATTTTAATCAGGTCCCTTTGACTGCTGTGGGAACAGCCTGTTGGGCTGAAGAGGGTACTGTAGTTGTCCAGTGAGAGATGGGTGGTAGCCATGGAAATGCTGAGAAATGCTTCGGTTCTGGTTAAAATCTGGAGACAGAGCACAGAAACATGCAGACAGCATGGCAGTGAGAGACAGGAGTCCAGGGTAGTCTAGGTTAGCGGTCGGATCACCTGGAAGGATGGTGATGATCAACTGAGAAGGCCGCACTAGGGGCGAAGAGGTTTGGAGGGGAGCGCAGGAGGCCAGTTTTGCAGAGGGTCAGCTTCATTAGACACCAATGGGTATGCTATAAGAAAAGGCAGCTGGAAACTGCCAGACCTGAGATTCAAACCCAGGTGGCACAGCTCCAGTCAGCAACCTGAGCCACTCTATTCCAGTTGTCTATGAAGAGAAACACAAAAGGATAGGACCCCAGAGGGTGACAGGGATGCTGTTCCACACAGGGTGAGCAGCGAGGGCTTCCCTGAGAAAGTGACATTTGACCCAAAGGAGGGGAGGGACCATGCCATGCCGACCTGTGTGGGAAGGGGACCTCTGGCAGAGAGAACAGCATGTCCCAAGGCTCTGAGGTCGTCACCCTACATTACCCAGTTAGCAGGAGAGCTCCTATCTCTGAGGATAAGCACTCCCTGTTCTGCCTGTGAGGAGGGCCGTTCCCTCCGCTGACAAACCCTATTACACAATCAAGTCCCAGTACCTCCCAGGCAGAATTAATTCTTCCTCTGCATGATCCAACACACTGAGAAACCTGTCTGCCCTTGTAAATCTAGCTCTTCGCTCTGGGTCTTCAGCCTTGTGCTCCTCCGCCCTGTACTGTCTGTGGGGCCTTGAGCAAGTTGCTCAACCTCTTGGGGCCTGGTTGCTCATCTGTGAAATGGGGATATTTGACTCTCAAAATCTGATATTCTCAAAAATACACCTACCCTTGTGGGCTTTTGTGAGGATTAAACGTGTCAATATATGTAAAGGATTTAGAAAAGTATCTCTGGCCATGGTAATCCACCAAGAATTGTCAGCCTTTAGCTACTGTGTCAAACTTCTCCCTCCCCACAAATGCTGTTGTAACACCTTGGCCTATGGCCTACACCATCTGGCTCCCATCACCTCTGTGACTTCATCTTCTATTTCTTCCTCCACTCCGCTCCAGCCATACTGGCCTCCTTCATGTTCCTTGAATGTGGCAGGCATAATCCTACCCCAGGGCCTTTGCACAGCCTTTGGCTATTGCTTCTGTCTGGTAAACTCGTTCCCTACACAGTATAGTTTCTTCCTCTCATCTCCTTCAGGCCTTACTTAATTCAAGAGTCACCTTTCCAAGTGTGGCCTGTCCTATGCCTATGACTTCAGTCACCCCAATCTCCATTCCTATCTGCCCTACCTCATTTTCTCTTCTTAGCACTTGTCTAATATACTACCTAAATGTACTTATTTGTAATATAGTTTGTCCTTCTCATTTTTAATAAGTGTCTGTTCCACAAGGGCAGGGATTTCTGCCTATCCCCCCCCACTCTGCCCCTAAAACAATGCCTGGTACTTACTAGGTGTGCAGTAAATATCTGCACAGTCCAAACTAACATTTTAATTACCTATCAGAGCTCTTCTCCATCTGACCCCACGTGGATGTCTGAAATGATGATTTCTTCCATTTACTCGTGGTATAAATTTTTCTCAAGCCACCTATTGCATACCAGGGACATTTTTAAGTGCTCAAGAAGGAGCAGTGGATAATCAGATAAAACCTGTAAGGCCTCATGGGGAGGGACAAACAACATGCAAACTGTACAGTGTGGCAGATAATGACAGAGGGCAAAGGGACACAGCAGGGAAGGGGCCTGAGCCCTGCTAGTGTACAAGATCAGATGGTCAGGGGGATGCTGACTTTTTAAAAAAACACAAATAGCACCCTTAGAAACATTTTTTATACATGTGCCTTTATATAGTGTATTTCAAGCACCACAGTGTGATGAACACATGCTTTACTGAAATAACACCACCCAGATGCAATGAAATGAAAGTGCCCTTAGAAACATCTCTTCTCTCTGTGCCTTCAGAGTATTGTACGTCACACTTTTGTGAACAGATCCTTTCGATGAAACACTCACCTTATTCATAAATCAACTGGTATTCTTGGAAATATCTTTTATACATGTGTCTTCATGTAGTGTGTTCCCTGCGCCAGAATGTGAACACATTCTTTAGGGGCTGGCACTTGAACAGAGCCCTAGAAGGAATCACGCCAGGATGCAGGAGTAGCTTTGGGGCAGAAAGAATAGCCAATGTAAAGACCCTGAGGCTGGCCCAAACCTGCTGGGTTAAGGAGCATTTAGGTGGAAGTCAGCATTGCTGGAGCACAGCTCTGGGGTACAGGGCGATGGAGGTAAGGCCAGAGAGGTGACTTGCTTTATTAACTCATAGGTATTCTTTATTTGCACTGGAGCAGATTCCAGTTCTGACTCCCCCATTTTAGAAATGGGGAAACAGGTGCAGGGAGAAAGTGGTTAAGTCATTTATCTGAGGTTATACAGCTCCTGGAATGGGGGTGGGTGGGTAGGTGTTAAGACCAGGTGTGGAACAGACAGCTCTGCGGACAGAGAAGAGCCAAACAAAAGCCTGGAGATGGGAACTAATTTGGCTTTTTAAGGAACGGGGCCTCATGTGGGGAGCAATGAAATAAAAGAGAGAAGCCTCAAAAATGATCGTGTAGTCTGAGTATTTACTAGGCCACCTTTCAGGAAGGTATTTAACCTTCCTATGCCCCAATTTCCTCATATTTATCTCATATAGTTGTGATGAGGATTAAATGGGCTCGTGAATATAAAACACTCTGCCTTGTACATAGCAGATGCCCAATAAATGCTAGCTCATATTGGCATTTTCATCAATATCTCTAATGCATTTGCTTACTGCAGTGAGGCAGAGCGCCTTGGGGGTTAAGACTATTTGCCACGGAGTGTGCGCTACAGTAAAACGCCCTGGGCTCAACAAGTACACAGGCTGATCTAAGAGATGAGGGGCCGGGAAGATCACAGACTGATCCAGCACAAGATTACAGGAGGATACGGTATGTGGTTTTCTGTTTAGGAGGGGAGTGCGTGTGAAAGCAAGCACAGGGGTAGCAAGCAGGCCAAGAAACAGATCCCTAGAAAGGTAGGGGGTTACAGTTCATCTTCTGGCGGGAGGTGGGGTGAAGGGAGAGCAGAAAAACTTACTGGGAAAGCCATCACAGTGATTAAAAGGAGAGAGAGACAAGGTCATACAGCAAATGAAAACATATAAAGCACCAAACTGACCCACTATTAAAAGAAAGGGAATAGCCCAGGGCCTGGAATGTACAAATAACGGAGGCGAGTCAGGGCAATGGATTAATAACTAGGGGAATGTGAAGACAAGCATGTAGACTGATCCACGATAGGATGGGAGTGGGGGTGCAGAAGCCAAGATTTGAGGCATTGGGGTTGGAGGAGTCAGGCATACAAACTCAGAGGGACTCACGGTTACAGGAGCGCGCGCGCGCGCGGGGCGGGGTGGGGGGGTTACAGCGCCACGGATTGATTCACTACAAGGAACAGAAGGGGTGGAATAAACAAGGCCACAGACAGGTCTCCTGAAAGTTGAAGCTAGGAGAAATACAAACACTCAGAGGCACCTACTATTAAGGGGCTTTGACAATGCCACAGACTGGTACCCAGTAAGTGAGTGGTGGGGGGACAAGACCGTGAAGGACGAGTCCAATGTAAGTTGGGGTGGAAAGAAATATAAGCACGCAGACCGATCCATTATACATCGGGAGAGGGAGGTTAGGCCACGGTCAGATCCAAAACAAGGGGCGAAGGGAGCGGGCAATGCCACACGCAGGTCCACTAGTCGTGGCAGTGGGAAGCCCAACACCAGCAGGCCATCGGCCAAGCCACATTCCCCGCGCGGGGGCGAAAAGGATACGCGGGGTCACGGACAGGGCCCTCTACCCTCCAGGCCCAGGGCTCACCTGTGCGTGGTGCGGTGGCAGCGTTGGCAGCTCCGGGGGGCGGGGGCTCCATACGCGGCCCCACCGCCCCCCAGGCCCGGGTTCCGAGGCGGTGGCGGCGGTGGCGGCGGTGGCGGCGGTGGCGGCGGTGGCGGCGGTGGCGGCGGTGGCGGCGGTGGCGGCGGTGGTGCCGGTGCTGGCGGCTGCGGCGGCAGCAACACCTAGAAGCCGCCCCTGCGTTTCCCCACCACTCACGTGGGCACTTAGGGGAGGAGCTGAGCGACCCGCCGCTCGCTGACTGGCCAAAGATCTTGGCTCTACAGCACAGCTTCAGAGCTGGGGGAGCGGTCACTAACCCACAGTGCTATATCATGATTGGCTCAAAGGGAAATGATGGACCGCGGCTGGTCGATTGAGTACGGGTGAGGCGCGCTCCGCCTAACCGGTGCTCCACGTTGATTGGCCCAAGGAAGACGGCTAGGGTATGAGCGATTAACAAGACTCAGGAGACGCCTACCTCACACTGATTGGCCTAAAAGGGATTGATGGCAGCCAGCCAACCTACGAGGAAGGGGTAGGTGGGCTCTCTTTTCAGCTGATTGGAGGACTAGACTCATAGACAGCTGCCATAATACCGACCAGGCGGTGCTGCTTGCCACGCCGCTCAGCGGAAGCAGGACTTATATAGAAATGGGCGTAGCAGCCAGCAGGGAGAGGGTTGAGCCAAGGCCTGCGTAGGCAGGCAAGGATAACTCTATCGTGATTGGCTAGAAAAGACGAATTTAGAATTAACAGAGGTAGGAGGGCGGGACAGCTGCCAGACTAGCAAAGCTCTTTCAGTGGTAGAAACTAAGTATCTACAAGGAGGGCAGTGTCCAGCAGGGCTTGAGGGCCGACCCTGGCTCTTTTGGAGTTTAGCAGGACTCAACCTAGAGTAGGGGCTGGACGAGGAAGGGCAGATCTGTGCCTATTGGCGTAAGCTGGATCCATTTCAAAGCAGGGCCAGGGCCAGGGTGGGATAGGTGTGTTATTTAGGGTACCTAAGAAATGACTGAGGTGTGGAAGGGAAAATGTAAGGTCAGAAGTGATATGCTGATGGCCATGTGAACAAGCCTCTACCCTGAATTCTCTATTGCAATCGAAAAAGTGGTGTCCCGGAAAAGGAAGAGTGAGGTGGGGCCCAGGTTGCCAAGTTGACAGAAAAGTGGGCAGAACAAAAAGTCAAACACAAATACTGCCAATAAACTAGAGGCAAGACTTCTGGATGCTTTAGATTTTCTACACGGAGACTGGATCTCTGGTCTCCCAGTAATGTTGTGCTTTAGAAACCAGGCACCTTGGAAACCAGCAAGGCTTAGGGGTAAAAGAAGGGCCATGTGACTCAAAGGCATTCAGGATTTTAATGTCGCAGAACAGGAAGAAGAAATCAATGGTGAGACGTCTCTGGGAAGTTCTGCAGGCCTTGTAGTTCTCTAAGCCCCTGCAAAAGAGAGCAGAGACTGAACAGACGCTGGCTCCATGCCCCACCGCGGTCTTGCTCTGACTCCCCCTCCTTGGCTTCAGTTTGCAGGGAAAGATGGCCCTTCCCTTCTTTAGCTTTCTCCCTTCTCCAAGTGATCATCTAAACACATGTAGAGGGAGGGTGTGGCAGTGGAGTGAGGGGCTCTCACCTCTAGCAACATGTGGATGTGGGCCTTGATATTCATGGAGTCCTTGGTGAGGCTGTTGCTGAGCCTGGAGAAAAGAAATAAGAAAGGCCAAAGTGGGCCCCACTGATGATTATGAGGATGACCCTTCCTCAGCATTTCAAGATCTACCTCCATTCCAGATGACTTCCACCCGGTCTGGTTCTATGCAGAAATGGCTGGTCACCATCTGGACCTCACCGATTCAGGGATGATTGAATGCATATCATATACCAGGCAGTTTTAAAGCACTGGGGAGATGATAGCAAACAAAAATTTCAACCTCAGGGCCCTCAAATTCTTGCCAAGAGACAAATACATGATGTGATAAAATACATGGTAGGTCAGATGTTTTTAAGTACTGTACAAGAAAAAATGGAACAATGAGGGAGGATAAGGAGTAAGGGGAGTGGACTGCAATTTTAAACAGAGATTTAAGTCAACATTTAAAGAAAGGGAAGAAGTGAATAGTGTCATTATATGCTAGGCATGTTCCACACCCAAGGGGCAGCCAATACAAAGGCGCCAAGGTGGGCACATCCCTGGAGTGTTTGAGGTCCAGCCAAGGCCACTGAGGTTAAAGAGAAATAAATGAAGGGGGACTGTTAGAGGTGAGGTCAGAGAAGTAAGGAGAGAGGCAGATAGTTAGACCATGGTAAACACCTTGGCTTTTATGGGAAGTGAGGCAGGAGCCAGGCTGTGAGCAGAGGGGGCGACTGACTGGGGGTTAGGAGCATTCATCTGAGCAGAGAAGTGAACCGAGAACAAGGAGCTAATGTGAAGACAGTACATGCCTCGAGGCAAGTACTGCAGTGTGCCAAGTGAGAGGGTCAGGTGACAGTGGGAGCAGTTGAAGTAATACGAAGTAACTGAATTTGGGATTATTTTGAAGATAGAACAAACAGGATTTACCAAAGGGTTAGATGTCAGGTATGAGACAGGACTCAAGGAGGAGGCCAGGCCAGGGATATAGCTCAGTGGCATAAGTGCCTGCCTGGCAAGCACAAGGTCCTGAGTTTGATTCCTGGTACCAAAAAAACCCACAAAAAACAAAAAACAAAAAAAAAAAAGAAGGAGGAGGCCAAGGTGTACAGAACTGGGAAGCTGGAGTTGCCTGTCACCATCCTAGCCCTGGAGTGCTGGGTTATACAAACCAGTCAGTTCCTTTTGTCTAAGCCTGTTTGGATCAGGCCTCAAGAAAAAGAATCTCAGCAGGGTGTGGTGGCACACACCTGTAATCCTAGCACTCAGGACACTGAGACAGGAGGATCTCCGTGAGTTTGAGGCCAGCCTGGACTACACAGTGAGTTCAAGGCCAGCCTGGACTACATAGTGAGACCTTGTCTCAAAAAACGAACAAACAAACAGAGGGGTCTTTTCCAAAGAAAGCCCAAGAGGCAGGAAAGAGCATTTGGAGGAGCAGCTAGGAGATCAGAATGTTAGAAATTCAGTGAATGGTGAAAGGAAGTAATATATGATAAGGTCCAAGTGGTCGGAAGGGGCTAGCGCAAGCAGGGTCTTGATAGTATGATACAAGAATGTAGATTCTATTGTGCTGAGCTATCTGTCAATATAAGACTCAATGTGAGGTATCAAAAAAACTAAATAGGGGCTGGGGATTTAGCTCAGCGGCAAAAGCGCCTGCCTGGCAAGCGCAAGGTCATGAGTTCGGTTCCTGGTACCGGAGAAAAAAAAAAAACAAAACAAAACAAAAAAAAACTAAATATTGTATGAAAAATAAATGGCCAAGAGCTAGGATGCTCAGTTGGAAAAAATAGTATGAACCTAATATACACCACTATCTCTCAAATTTATATTGCTAGCCTAAACTCTCCTGAACTTGACTTGGGAGTTTTAACTACATCTTCAAAAAATCCACATCAGTGTTTAATAACTTCATCGTTTCCAGACTGATTCCTGATCTTCCTCTCCCAATTTGCTCCTCCCAGCTAATCAATCTCAAATAATGGGAACTCTATCCTTCTAAATTGCTCAGTGAAAACCTAGATCCTCTTCTCATTTTCTCTTTTTATAGTGCTAGGGATGGAATCCAGGGCCTCATGCATGCTGGGTAAGTGCTCTACCACTGAGCTACACTGACAGCTCCAAGACGCCTCTCTCTTTCTCACACAGCTCACATCCAATCAGTCATTCTATTTAAAATCACAGTGGCTCCATCCCAGGCAATGCTTCCAGTCTCCACCATGTGCTCTTTTTCTGTACACGTGTCAGCATCTTTACTTGTTTATCGTCTGTCTCCTTTAATTGGAAGGTCAGCTGCACAGTGGCAATGATTTAGTCTGTTTTGTCCCCTGCTGCATCCCCAGAAACCTGAACAGTGTGTGACAGAGTAGGCAGTGAATGGATGTTGAATGAATTAAATGAAAGACTATTACCCTGAAGGGAACCTGAAGTTGTCAAAAGATACCAGTCTATATTAGGGACAGGAAATAAAACATGGCATTCTTGCTGGAGACCATGTATTCTTTCAAGAATATCTGGTATAGTTTTCAAAAAACTCAAGAATAAACTTGATCAGCTCCTAAGGGACAATTTGAACATCAAAAAACAAAATATTAGTTAATGGCACAAGACTAGTCTATGAAAGGCTATGAGTTCACTGCAAAGGAAACAAGAGGGCTGAGGGCATAGCTCAGCGGTTGACTATGTACTTAGCGTATACAAGGTCCTCAGTTACCTCCCCAGCACCAAAAGAATAAACATGGAAAGGAATAAAATACAAAGTTCACCAAATGCTAACTGTGTACAAAAGGATATGTTTAATCCATTACTACTTATTTCATAAGGAAATATCAATACTTATATGTTTATGCTGGTTCTTCTATAATTACATTTCTATATATGACATGTGTGTGTTCTGTCTATGTAATCAGAAAAAAAGCATATACAGAGATATGAAGACCTCCTCTCTTCAAACAAAGGAATATACCAAGAACAGGAAGAACTGGTAGGCAGTTTTGGTTACATAATAACCAAAAAGAAAGTTTATGTCCCAAGTAACTATTTCAAATAGAAGGGCCAGCTACAGACTCAAATCCTCATCTTCTATAAAGACTAAGCTTTTAGAGAGTTGTACTAATTTTAGTAAAGCAATGTGAGAGTCAACCACAATTTTCATCACACAAAAAGACCAGGTCAATATTACAAAAAGACCAAAAGAGACAGACATGGACAACTTAAAATACACCTCATTTGGGGGAAAGACATCAAGTCTCAAAAAATTAAAGTGTATCTGAAAGACCCAAAAATCCTGTGACAAAAGAAAGCTTTGTTACAAGAACTGGACGTGCTCTCAAGGACCACCAGTTGAGAATTGTGCTGACCATGAAAGCAACCCCCCACTTCCCATCATGCTCTTTACTACCTGATCTGATCACCAAGCTTGGGAAATCTCAGCAG